CTTTGATGTGACTCGATGTGACCCGATGTGACCTTGATGTGACTCGATGTGACCTTGATGTGTCTCGATGTGACCTTGATGTGTCTCGATGTGACCCAATGTGACCTTGATGTGTCTCGATGTGACCTTGATGTGTCTCGATGTGACCCAATGTGACTTTGATGTGACTCGATGTGACTCGATGTGACTCGATGTGACCTTGATGTGACCCAATGTGACTTTGATGTGACTCGATGTGACTCGATGTGACTCGATGTGACCTTGATGTGACTCGATGTGACTCGATGTGTCTCAATGTGTCTCGATGTGACTCGATGTGACCTTGATGTGACTCGATGTGACCTTGATATGACTTGATGTGACTCAATGTGTCTCGATGTGTCTCGATGTGACTCGATGTGACCTTGATGTGTCTCGATGTGACTCGATGTGACCTTGATGTGACTCGATGTGACTCGATGTGACTCGATGTGACCTTGATGTGACTCGATGTGTCTCGATGTGACTCGATGTGACCTTGATGTGACTCGATGTGACCTTGATGTGTCTCGATGTGTCTCGATGTGACCTTGATATGACTTGATGTGTCTCGATGTGTCTCGATGTGACCTTGATGTGTCTCAATGTGACCTTGATGTGTCTCGATGTGTCTCGATGTGACCTTGATGTGACTCGATGTGTCTCGATGTGACTCGATGTGACCTTGATGTGACTTGATGTGTCTCGATGTGTCTCGATGTGACCTTGATGTGTCTCGATGTGACCTTGATATGACTCGATGTGTCTCGATGTGACCTTGATGTGTCTCGATGTGTCTCGATATGACCTTGATGTGTCTTGATGTGACCTTGATGTGTCTCGATGTGACCTTGATGTGTCTTGATGTGACCTTGATGTGTCTCGATGTGACCTTGATGTGTCTTGATGTGACCTTGATGTGTCTCGATGTGACCTTGATGTGTCTTGATGTGACCTTGATGTGTCTCGATGTGTCTCGATGTGTCTCGATGTGACTTTGATGTGTCTCGATGTGTCTCGATGTGACTCGATGTGTCTCGATGTTACCTTGATGTGTCTCGATGTGTCTCGATGTGACTCGATGTGTCTCGATGTTACCTTGATGTGACTCGATGTGACTCGATGTTACCTTGATGTGTCTCGATGTGACCTTGATGTGTCTCGATGTGACTCGATGTGACCTTGATGTGACCTTGATGTGTCTCGATGTGTCTCGATGTGGCCTTGATGTGTCTCGATGTGACCTTGATGTGTCTCGATGTGTCTCGATGTGGCCTTGATGTGTCTCGATGTGACCTTGATGTGTCTCGATGTGTCTCGATGTGGCCTTGATGTGACCTTGATGTGTCTCGATGTGTCTCGATGTGACCTTGATGTGTCTCGATGTGTCTCGATGTGACCTTGATGTGACCTTGATGTGACTCGATGTGTCTCGATGTGACTCGATGTGACCTTGATGTGTCTCGATGTGACCTTGATGTGACTCGATGTGACCTTGATGTGTCTCGATGTGACCTTGATGTGACTAGATGTGACCTTGATGTGATTCGATGTGACTCGATGTGACTCGATGTGACCCAATGTGACCTTGATGTGACTCGATGTGACTCGATGTGACCCAATGTGACCTTGATGTGTCTCGATGTGACTCGATGTGACCTTGATGTGACTCAATGTGACTCAATGTGACCTAATGTGACCTTGATGTGACTCGATGTGACTCGATGTGACCTAATGTGACCTTGATGTGACTAGATGTGACCTTGATGTGATTCGATGTGACCTTGATGTGTCTCGATGTGACCTTGATGTGACTAGATGTGACCTTGATGTGATTCGATGTGACTCGATGTGACCTTGATGTGACTCAATGTGACTCAATGTGACTCAATGTGACCTAATGTGACCTTGATGTGACTCGATGTGACTCGATGTGACCTAATGTGACCTTGATGTGACTCGATGTGACCTTGATGTGACCCGATGTGACCTTGATGTGACTCAATGTGACTCAATGTGACCTAATGTGACCTTGATGTGACTCGATGTGACTCGATGTGACCTAATGTGACCTTGATGTGACTCAATGTGACTCGATGTGACCCAATGTGACCTTGATGTGACTCGATGTGACCTTGATGTGACCTTGATGTGACTCGATGTGACTCGATGTGACCTAATGTGACCTTGATGTGACTCGATGTGACCTTGATGTGACCCGATGTGACCTTGATGTGACTCAATGTGACTCAATGTGACCTAATGTGACCTTGATGTGACTCGATGTGACTCGATGTGACCCAATGTGACCTTGATGTGACTCGATGTGACTCGATGTGACCCAATGTGACCTTGATGTGACTCAATGTGACTCAATGTGACCTAATGTGACCTTGATGTGACTCGATGTGACTCGATGTGACCCAATGTGACCTTGATGTGACTCGATGTGACCTTGATGTGACCTTGATGTGTCTCGACA